TATTTTGCGGCAGAATGCACTTTAAGCATAACCTTCTTTTTTTTAAATTTATTTTGTGGCTGAAACTTTAACGGTAAGTACCTACCTGAAAAAAAAATTTTGTTTATTTAAATTGCGTTTATCATTTAGAGTAATGCCTTGGCAATATATAGCAACAAATAATTGAATTAAATTTCATTTAGTTTTTTGTTCAAAATTTTTGATGGGAATTGTCACATTATGTTCCAAACTTCGGACTTTTGTCCGAACTTAGGATACAATTTTTTTACAAGGACCTACCTAGGTATTTTTTTTTTGTTCTAGATTCAGGAAGCTATTATGCCTCCAAAAAAGAAAGTAGGAAGGGAAAGGTACATAAATTATGACCAAGATTCTGTGGAAAAGGCATTGGAGGCAGTCGCCAGATGCCGATTAAGTGTAAGGGCTGCAGCAGAAGCCTACAATGTACCAGAATCAACGATTTCTGATAGGTATCATGGCAAGCACCTATCGAAAAATGGTAGACCCAACGTCCTATCCTCCGTGGATGAGAACCATCTATTACAAGGGATTTTAACTGCTGCTACTTGGGGGTATCCCTTGACTTCCACTGGTATTAGAATTATCGTTAAGGGATTCTTGGACAGAAAATGTTTAGTGTTGAAACGATTTAAAAACAATGAGCCTGGTCGAAAATGGATGAAATCATTTTTGATGCGACATAAGAATTTGCTATCTGCCCACCTCAGTGAAAATATTAAACGTCAACGGTCTGTAGTCTCTAGACCAATCATTGAGGATTTTTTTCAAAACTTGGAGATAAGTTTACAGAAAGAATAATTGATTGCTCCAAATCTAGCACATCGGTCATGTTTGCGGTGTCAGCTAATGGCGATAGACTTCTCATTTATGTAGTATATAAGGCAACAAACCTTCACGACACTTGGACAAAAAATGGACCACAGGGAACTTTATATAACAGAAGCGCAAATGGTTGGTTTGACGGTTTCATCTTTACTGACTGGTTTGATAAGGTTGCTCTACCCTACTTTATAGTAGAAGATCCGAATAGAAAATGATCTGCACCCATCTGTTTATTGGGTGAAAATTATTTTATATCAAAGGTAGTATGTTAAAAAATATATCAGGTGTGGGTTGGCTAAAAAATTCCTGGCCAGACTATTATTAATAAATAATTCAAAAATTATAATTGTCAAAGGCATTGCACTCATTTGTTTAACGAACAAATTTCATACTAATCGAAAGAATATTGAAACGTTCGGGTGTCTATTTTTTTCCTGGCATAACTATTGGGTTGACAGGTTTGAACAGGTGAGTCGATACTAGTAATTTACACCCATCTGTTTAATGTATAAATCACACATCACTCTGTCGCATATTTCCATCCGCACTAAAATTTCGCTTTTCAAAGCTCGCCAACCGTCATTCAGGCCAGATTTTTCGCCGACAACCCTATATCATCGTGTTCGCAATAAATAAACTTTTTTTTTGATGTAAGATTTATTCATTAAACAGAAGGGTGTGAATTACTAGTATCGACTCACCTGTTCAAACCTGCCAACTCGATAGTTATGCCAGGAAAAAAATAGACAATCCAACGTTTTTATATTCTTTAGGCCCTATACTTTCGATTAGTATGGAATTTGTTCGTTAAACAAATGAGTGCAATGCCTTTAACAATTATAATTTTTGAATTATTTATTAATAATAGTCTGGCCAGGAATTTTTTAGCCAACCCACACCTGATATTTTTTTTAACATACTAACTTTAATATAAAATAATTTTTATCCAATTAACAGATGGGTGCAAATCCTTTCCTATTCGGATCTTAGACTATTAGGAGGAAACAAGGGAAAAAAATCTTAATCGGAGACAATTTGGCATCTCATATTTCTGTAGATGTTGTAACAAAATGTGAAGAGCATAATATTCAATTCGTTCTGCTTCCAGCCAATTTTACCCATCTATGCCAACCCCTTGATGTAGCCTACTTTCGTCCACTTAAAAGAGCATGGAAGACCGCACTCCTAGATTAGAAGAAGCGTCATCGCGGTGCAATTCCCAAGGAATATTTTCCGCTGCTTTTTAAGGAAACATTGCGTCAATCGTTGAAACTGAAGAAACGAATATTAAATCAGGATTTCGTGCTTGCGGGATATTTCCGATTAATCGTAATGAGGTTCTTAAGAGGCTACCATCCGTTGCCGAACATCAAACTGCAGAAGACGGCATTGAATGGTGTGTAACATTTAGCGAACACCTTCAAAACACCAGTATGGCAGATACGCTCCCTAAACGACAGAAACGCAAAAAAATTATTGTTCCTCCTGGTAAAGCAGTTACTGGTATAGACGTTTCTGACCAACCCCATCCCACTCTTGGTGGTCGTGATAATGATATGGAAACTAATGGCCCCAGAGAAAACATCGCCAATAAGATAACAAGGAGAAAGTATTTCGTATGAAGAAAATGGTAACTCGCAGTCCGAAAAAGCCGAAATTGGAAACGAACAGATTCTGGATGACAGTGATATTCCTCTGGCAAGACTAACAGCTGCAACAAAAGAAAACGATCCGATCCACCGAGTAAACCTTAAGCCGGGTAACTTTTTAGTTTGAAAGTTTCTATACAACGAAAATACTAAACGTGAAGAAGAAAAAAATTTGTAGCTAAAATATTGAAAATTGATTTTGGGATCCAAATAAGTTGCCTAAGGAGAAGGGATTCCGAATGGTTTGTATTTCCAAATGTTGAAGATGTCACCAAAGTTAGCTTGGCAGATATATGCACCTTGCTTCAAACACCTGAGGAAAAGAGAGGAAAATTTCGTTTTTGCAAAGATTTAACCAATACAGCTTAAGTTTCAATGTAACTATCATTCTCTTATTTACTCCAAAGCGAAAGCGTAGACTCTCTTTAAGGGCCCCTACGTTGATCTCCAACAGTAAGTCGAGCATAGCTCAGCAACCAGGACCAAGCTCTAGAGCTCAGGACAGAGCTACTCTAAATCCTCTGGCCCCACCCTATGGAGCAATCGAGGATGCCATGCGCCAGACTAGACGAGGCCTCCAATCTTTTTCCAGCTCTACGTCTTGTAGTCTTGTCACCCCAAGGGCTCCAGGATCAATTTCCTTTTTCCTAATGCCTTCGACCAGATCCAGCTCTGGGCTTCCAACTTGCCCTCCAGAGCTCTTGTCCTTGACCACAAAGGCCTTCCATCGCCGCAACGAGGTGTTTAATCTAGAGGCTACCTACTGCAACTTTGTGCGTGCCTACGGAAGGGCCGCCACAGACTACCGTCGGCCTTGGCCGGAGTGCCACTTTATGTCCACGGCCCACGCCACCCCCGCCGCCCTCCATCTAGGCGCCGATGACTTCGACTTGTAGACTATTCCCAACCGTTCACGGTTCTTCTGTGCCTAGTCGTTGTTTTCCATTTCTAATTGTTTGACTCTAGAAATAGACCTATTTAGTTAGTAGTGTAAAACAAAGATAGAAATAGCAATGTGAGGTGGCTAAAAAGTAACCACTATTTTTCATGCGCAACGGGGATCGATTCAAAACCTGCGAAAATGTTGGTGGATCATGCCAATGACGTAAAATAAAAATAGATGAAACACTCCGATGGTCAACTGACGAACTGATTTTCTTCCAAAAAGAACGTGATCGCTTCTATTTGGATTATAATTTTTTTGAGGTTATGTCATTTGTCCTTCTGACTGCATTTTTACATGTTTATATTTATTTGGAGATTTATTTGTATTTTTATTGTGGTGTAAGAGTGTAAAAACTATGAATTTTAGTGTGATTTGGTTTCATGGAGACTGATACTGATAGAAACGTGTGGTCGAAAGACTTTTTGCCTTTCAAAAATTTCCATTTTGGGATCGCTAAAACCTTCTTCAAAAAGCAATCGTGGACGAATAGGCAGCGTGATCGTGGCTACCGATTTTTTGCTGAAGGGTATATTCAGAAAGTTTTCACGAATAAAAGTAAATGCACTATCAAAGCAAAGTGCTTTAGAAGCCAAAAAAAATGAAATCCCCCATAGGCTTCATTCGAATATTTCATCATCAATGGATGTTATGGTTGAAGCTCACTGTACATGTGAAGCTAGGTGAGAAAACTATGTTTTGCATTATATTAGCAGTGCTGTTAGAATAATGGTATTCTCTAAAAACTCACAATCCTGCAATCACCTCGTTGGACTGGCATACTATTTTCAACATTTGATTTTGAATGGGCTTAAGCAAGTTTCTGAAACTGTATCATCATGCACTTCAATTCCGATAAAGTGGAATAAACCAAGAGGACCAAAAATTGTACCAGAACAAATTCCTAATAGTGTCTTCATTGATTCAACCAACATCGAAAGGAAAAAAGCACCTGTAGTTTGTCGGATAAAAAGCCCCATAAGAAACAGCAAGTTGGAGAAAATCACGCAATCAAGTGTTGCTCATTTAAAAACTGCATTAAACAGTATCAATTCATCCATAACATTCGCAAGCACACTTTGTACCCAAAGTATTATAACGGGAGCCGCCAGTGTGTCAAGAATCTAACTTAGATTGCGGATGTTTGCGCTGTTTTCGAGAAGGAGAGTTATCGCGTGTATTCTAGATTGTACATGAATGGATTTGCGGATATATAAGGACCAGCATTGGTTGGTAGTTTTTAAGTTTAAGTTTGACTGTGATACGATTTAGTTAGTGATTATTGTTGAGAGTTGTGAAGAGTTTAGTTGTTGAGTTAATTAATAAAGTAATTAGTGTCAGAGTGTATAGTTACGTGGAATAAATTATTGCTTTGTTAATTGGACTTTGATTTTGGAATAAACGAACATCAAACCCAAGATTTCTGTCATGCACTCCAAAGCCGTGACAGTATAACTGCTCAAAATACAATATATCTACAAGATGGTATGTATCAGCTTTTGTTAACATTAATATTTCACGAATACTGATTTTTTCCTGTGCCAACTTCGTCACTATTGGGTCATATGGCACGTGCAAAAAGAAATGCTGTTTCTGTGATGGGACTTGCAGAGGAACACATGGAAGAAGTGGAAGAACTACCCCTTGCCATTGGACACCAAAGAAATGGTGGATATTTTGATAAGTGCGGGGCCAGTTCACCATGCCTCATTGGACAGACTTACCATGGAGCAAGCTGCCACAATAGAAAAAGGTACGAGGTACCAGAACCGGAGTGATCTTTGGAAAAATTTTAGAAAATTTCGAAGTTTGGTTATGTATGTAAACGAAAAATTATTCAATAATGAATTAATTAAACAATTTTTGTGCCCTCCTGATATAAGTCATATCAAAGCCGTGCTATAAATACATTTTTGAAAGCATATAATCAGTTCACTCACTACAAATGTGGTTTGACAGTGCACCCATATGCTATCAATTTAGGTGCAAGCCCTGATGGCATTTTATGTGATGCTACCTCTTCCATTTTTAGCATTCTGGAAGTAAAATGTCCTTGTAGCATTAAGGCAAATAGTTTGGAGGAGAACACCAGATTGAAAACCTTCTGCATGAGTCACGACCAGAATAAGGAATTGAGGTTAGAAACCAATCATGATTATTTTTATCAAATTCAGGGGCAAATGCTGATAACTGCGGCCGAATCCCCACTAGACGACAGCCCAATTCTCGACCACAAGGAACCCATCCGTGGTCTACTCAAACCAGACCTCAAAAAAGCGATCAAAACCAAAGGCCTCTAACGCCGCCAGGCCTGACGGAATGTCTGCAGCCGATCTTCGTCGTGTCCCGCTAAGGAACGTAGCAATTTTACTCAATGGTATGCTCGGGACCGGGATCACTTCTGCTACTCTCAAACTATGCACCACCACCCAAATAGATGCTATTGCTGATACCAAAAAGCTAGAGATACATGTTTCTCAAGAACTTCCTGAAAATGCCATAAAATCTATCACCATTCTCGAGATTTTAGAATTCCAAATTGAAGAATCTGCAAGTGATCCGGATTTGACGTCAGACCACAGTTTGAATTCTCAAGACAAACAGGAAATAGATAGCGACATGAACCTTTTCAAGGATATTAACATTAAAGATTATTTTGCATATATTTATTAATTATAAATTGCCATTTATTATTTTATTATTGTTCTTGCATCTTGCTAATAATATTTTTATTATTAATTCTAGAATGATCTGATCTACTTTCTGAGGCGACTTCATCAGTTATAGACCTCACTCCAGAAGCCAGGCCGGTGTATCAAAAGTCAAGAATTTGGGGAGAAAACCCAAAGGACGAAGATATTCACTCGAAGACAAGGTCTTAGCATAGGCTTTATACAAGCAAGGTGACAGTGGGTACAGATTCCTCTCAAAGCTACTTGCTTTACTATCGAGAAAAACGCTAATGAAGCTTCTCAATCGAATTCCAATTCGCCCTGGAATACAAAACGAAGTTTTTGCTGTTCTAAAAGCTGAAGCGAAGGATTTCAAAAACCTAGATAAATAGTGTATTTCGATGTTCGACGAGTAACTTATCCCACCAAGTTTATAGCCAAGTTGGTACGAGAGAAATATCACTGAGTTTGAAGATTTGGGATTCAAGCAAACACCAGAAATAGCGATTCATGCTCAGGTGAGGATTTTTATAACAGAAGTAGTTACAAAACTGTTAATTTCTAGGTATTTAATAATAATATTCAGCAGCTTTTATTCATGTTATTAAATGTTTTTTGTTTTGCTTACCAGGTATTTATGCTGCGGGGGATCAGGCGCAAATAGAAGCAACCAATTTATTATAATTTTGCTAATGGTGCCATCAAAAATGATGATATTGTCAACATACTGGAGCACACCATAGAGATATGTCATGGTATTGGTTTGCATATTGTAGCATATAGTAACATCTAAGCATTTATTATATTTTTCAAATTATAATTATAATTAAATATGTAAGAAATAATAGAGAAAAATGTGAGGTGAGAATAATACAAACATGTTGTTAGAAAGTATGCACAAGGTTGAGAAATACTTTCACTTGGGGGACAGAAAAGTTAAACGATTTGATAAAGGTGTACATGCAGTATTACATTACACACGAGACAAAATGGTTGACCGTTTAATAAAAAATACCAAGGGTAAACAAAGTAAGGCTAGAAAAGATATTTGAAACTGTCATCGTGTATCTATAACTTGTTTTTTTTACTGTTAAAAGGGACAACAATATATATCCTATTCACAATCTGTAGTCCAAAGTTACAGGTAAATTTATCACCTTGCCTTATCAAATAGCATTGAAAGGTTATAAATTTCACCTGTACCTTTGTGAATAGATAATATAGTCAGTCAGTACAAAGTGGAGAAAATCAGTACATAATTGAAGTACAGTTAGTGTCTATAAACCAGTGTTGCAGTTTAGTTTGTAATGTATGTAAAGTCTGCATTCATGCATATTCATGTAGTTGTCCATTTGTAAACATGTCCATTAAATTTCCATGCATTATTCTGACAATATCCAAGACGCAAATGTTCAACAGGGAAAATTCGATAACGAAAAGATAAGTGAGAACGAGGCGATTTTAACCAGCTTATCCAAAAATGGTGACTTAAAAGTAAATTAAAAGAACAGATTATTGCTAAAATGACTTCTTTACAAGCACAAGTACTGAGTAAAAATTTTGAAGAGATTTGACAAATGCAGAATATCTTTTTGATTTAAGAGTTCCTCTAGGCTCAGGGAGAATGGATTTTGGAGAAAAAAGTTTTATTTACCAACAACAAAAAATTTGTAAACAGCAGAGCTTCTTCTCGACTAAAAAAAAAGATCAAAGTTGAGAAAATATTAAAAACTAAAAACAATAAACGGTTTTTAGACGGAGAAAAGCTTGATATTATTGGTGAATATTCTGAACATACATATTTTAATGAGAATCGGAAGAGTCAGTATAGTAAAAGAAGTATGTAGTTGTACAAAGAAATGTCGAGAACATTTCTGTCCAACTTCAACAAAACATAGTAACTCAAGTTACTAGATTTTAGAAAATTATTGCATTTTTAAATTCAGCAGGTAAAATTACATATACTAATTTTTTTTCTTTTTTTTCTGTCTTTATGGTGGCCTCGTAATTAGCATCTCCATTTCTAGTAACTTTTAAAATGTTGTTGTTATACTAAATGCAAAACCTAGCAGATTGAGTTACTACTAACAATATTTAATATATTCATACATATACATTCATTAAAAGGTAGTAACTTGAGTTACTATTTTTTAAAGAAGCATTTTCTTCACATTTCCGTCAAAATGGCGGTAGATTATTCGAGATACTAGCTTTTATATAATTATTTTATGTCCATTTACGTTCAGGTTTGTATTCAGCAGAACATGTTATTACAAGTTACTATTTTAATTTCCCATTTTCAAAGCGATTGGCAGTTACTATTCGAATGTACTAGATTATTTTGAGTGTTCAGAGTGTGTGATTTTTCAACAACTTTAGATGTTGCATCCGATGTGACTTCTTCTTATTATAACGTAATTAAAAAGTTCAGCGCCGATGTAACCAAACTGACTTTTTGGGTAGATAACTGTTCTGCTCAAAACAAAAACTGGATTTTATACACTTCGTTTGTATGTTTTGTAAATTCAACATGGGGACCAGACGAAATCACTCTGAAATATTTTTTGCCCGGTCATTCTTTCATGGCAGCTGATTCTGTTCATGGTCGAATTAGCATCGAAATGAAAAAACACGCGAATATATATGACTTTGATCAATTATTAATGATAATCAAAAAATCATCCAGAAAAACAAAATGTTCAGTCCTCAATATTGCTGACTTTTTTTCTTTTACAGATGGATCTAAACAGCGTAAAAATAATAACATTCCTCTTCTTGTCCAAATTAAAGTTATCCAATCAAAAGGTTCTACCAGCCTGTTTTACAAAAAAAAAAAAAATTTGATGCGGAGTTTATCGAATCGACATTTTTAAAAATTAAATTTGAAGTAAAGATAGCATCCGCTCCCCTTTTAGAACCCCTAGAGGTGAATACTAAAAAAAAGGAAAATATTTTAAATGTCCTTTGTCCTTCTTTTGCAGATGAAAGAAAATAGTATATTGTTGTATTAGGAGTAGAAGCTTTACTTTTTTGTGCTGAAGCAGTAGGTTTGCGAGCCGAACGTAGTGAGGCTTGCAATACTGTTGAAGCACAAAAAAGTGCTTCTACTCCGTATGCAACACGCTATTTTTTCTCCAAACAAATGGGGTAAACTCGAGGGTAACTGGATGGTTGATCGGCAGTAAAAGTACGAGCGGCACTAAAAGTACTTTTGCTGCCGCTCCAGCGGCACTAAAAGTACTTCTACTGCCGCTGCGGTTGCTTAGCAGGATAGAAATTAAATTTCTACCACCTCGACAGGTGTAAACCCGCTGGATTTGCTTAGCAGCATAGAAATTACGTTTCTAACATCTTGACAGGTGTTAACAAAGTGACGTTTTTTTGACGTTTGGAGAAAAAAATTATTTTGGATATACTTTCCATCAAATCATAACTCTCGAGTTTTATGCACTGTTTCAGAATAGTTATTTATGATATAAGTGCTAAAAGTGACATCACTTTTAGCACGATTATCATACACTATTTTTTCTACAAACGCACTAAAAGTAATTACTTTTAGCACTCAGTGCTAAAAGTAATCACTTTTAACACCAGTGTCATAAAATGGCATTTTAGACACTGACAGCATCCGTTAAAAATGACACTTTTAGTGACGTTTGTAGAAAAAATTTGTTTTTCGTTGTTTTTGAAGGTTGATTTCTGTTCGGATATTTGGCATCTTCTATTTGTTTGTGCTATAAACAGTAGGTAGGTACCTACTAGTATTATAATATACATAAAATAAACAGAATTAACGATTAAATTACAATTTGTTTCATTTTTAATATGTTAATAAGATCATAATATATGTATTTATAATTTAAAATATTGTGCTTCAAGTAGCTGCAAAAAAGATTGGCCCATCTTCACTATAGCAACTAAACATGCTATCTTCTGCTCTATGCAAACTACAAACAATTTAGGCACTGGTCCATGCAACTCAAGATGCTATGTTCTGTTCACTTTTTTGTATCAATTTGAATATCTGTGTTGCATTCGGCAAAATATAGTAACTCGATTTTTTCCGTAAATTAATTGAAGTACGCGATTTTAACCCGTTTTTTTGGAATCCTCACCTAATCATTACCTTATAGACGTTCTTAGTTTATTTAAAAATTTTATTTTTAAGAATGGCTATACGAAATTTGAAAAAAACGCTCTCCTGAAAAGTTGCTCCAAACTTAGTTACTAGGTTCTGCAAAAGGACGGCAGATTTTACGGACGAAAGAAGAAATTTGCAAGTCTTTTTGGAAGCTTACTTTTGGAGAGAGACGACAGTACTTAAATGCGCATTTAAAACTTAACACAACCAAGCAGATAAAAATTGGCAGTGATGATAAAAGATAGTGTTCAGTGACATACTCTTGCAAAATCCGATAGAACAGAAGAATGTTTTTGTAAATCCATGGTTTAAAAACTGATGGCATGATCACTGAATTTGAAAGAAAATTGAATTTGTCAGCTGGACACACCATCAAATAAAAAAGATACAGATTCAGTCAAACAGCATATAGGGTCTTACAATCCGCAAGTCACACTACAAACTCTCGCATACTCCTAGTCCCAACAGTGTTACATGTATGTGGAAA